GCTGATGATAGTAAGTGGTGCTTATGTGAGTCATTCAAGTATTTTCAAAAAACTCTGCTCTAGTAAACCATGTATCACACCAGGAACCGTGAATTCAAATTCACACTAATCCAAAAAGAGTGCACATCACCTCATTTGTGATTATGCCTGTTCAAATGCTTTACCTTAACACTCATACCAACTTACAACCATTTTAATCACACTATTGCTAACAATAAATGCTAGTGAGCTGCTTCCCAGTATTTTTGCCTTTCCATGTATGAGCAGCACACCAGCATTCTGGAGAAACGTGGCACCTCAAGTGCTACTGAGAGCAAAAAGTGAGCCACAGGTTTTAAATCAAATGTAGTGTACAGAAAAGAACAAAAATGAAATTATTTCAAAGTCACATTCTTAGTTGTATTTCTGCTATGACAGATCAGTGTTTAGGCTATGAAGATATAGGATGACAGCTCACACCTCAACAGAAACAGCAAGAACCAGAATGCTATGAGAACAAAGTGGGTGTACAGTTATAAAGGTTTATGAGCTCTTGCACAAACACTACAATGTTGATTAAAGTCCAAAAGAAGAGTCAGGGAAGAATTCTCACATTCCAATGTACAACACAAAGGGTACAGCTTTGCTAATGTCTGTAAACACTCTTCAAAGCACCAAAGGCTGAAAGATTTCTCCTGCCCAGCCCAGGTTAAAGCAATTTTTCTGGAGGCTTGCCATGCTCTGTGGGAGGGAGGTAAGGGTGCAGCAACAAGCTGGATTTAAAAGATCCCCAGCTGGAAGCACAAATACAGAGAGTGATGTTTAAAACTGTTAGTCCCCTGGAGAGAAGCAGGAAACTCTCTTTATGACCCCCAGAGTATTTGTTTTTCCAACAGTTTCCCAGCTCAGCTTGAGATCCTCAAGGGCAGCAACAAAAAAAGTTTTCACTTTGCTCAAATTAGTTTTGACTGGTCCCTGGGTTCCCAAGGTGATAATTTAACACCTCATTAACAAGTGCATTATTGGAGGAAATTCAAATGAACCGATTTTAATGCTAATTGAATGTTTTCGACCTCAGCCTGCACAAGGAGTATTTATTTCCCCTTTCAGTACAACTGCAGCCACTGCTTCCATTTGTGGATCTACTGCTAACAATGGCAAGGTAAAAACTTTATTTCTAAATATACTATAAGCTACTCAACATCCAGTTCCAAGTGATGTAACATGGGCTATTCCTTCATTACGGCTTACACTTTATACCTGCACATACTTCTGTCTTGTCTTTGGAAAGAAGAGAGGAATTTGTCAAAATGTCCAACTTGAAGAAGCCTACTGATTAGGCAGCAGATTGAACTACTGAGGTCATATCTTCACTTGAGGTCCTGATTAACCACATAAAGGTTAAAATACTAATTGCAGTCTCTCCTCCCCTAGAATTCAAGCAGACTGAGCTTAGTTTTGTTTCCAGCATACTTCTCCCTGTGCGTATGAACAGTATAGCAATGATCCCGTCCTCTCAACAGCTCAGGCTCATTTCTCTGCCAACACAGCTGTACATTCTTATCCCTTCTGGCTATAATTGGTTTAACTATCTTTTCTGGTTTAACTTACTCAAGTTTGTTGCACACGGCAATGATAAGACTAGAATATTTTCTTTTTTTTTTTTTTTTTTTAAAGGTTTCCTCTGACTAGATGTAATCAACTACTAGCTCTTCACAACTGAGGTGCTCAGATGAGACAAATACCAATCAAACTATGTGCAGCTAACTGACTAGCCTTCAAAGGTTAGTTATTTATTTCTGATAGTTTAGCAGCTGGGATGGCCTATGCAACTGCTGCCTCCACTGCTTGTGACATTAGAGCTATGTAGGATAATGATCCTTGGTTTCTATACAGTGCTCAAAACAACATTCATTCAAAATTTAAGTGCCATTTTGTGCAAGGTCTATCCACGTTTTAGTCTGTACGTGCTGTGTATGGCACTGTGACTGAGTGTGGCATATTTGCCTCCTGAAACTGAGATGGAAGACTTGTTATAAATGTCAACATGCATAATTACTATAATTGATTTAATGTCCATGGAAGGAAGTATTTCAGCTCTTTTACAAGCCATTAACACTGCCAGCTTTAGTCCAAACTTAAAATACTCCTGGATTTAAGGTTCACCTTCACTTTTTAATACACAGGAGAGCAAACAAAGTTTCACCTCTGAAGGAGGTTAACAAGTTCCTAGACTGGTTTCACCTTGCACATTTTGATTTGCTCACATCTCAGTCAGGTTACTTTGTAATTTTCTTCCACTTGCCCCCAGCAATGTTATCAGGGCAATAAACAGGCTGGGTCCTACAGTGCCAACAGAACTCCAGCTGCACAGGATATATCATGTAAACAGCAGAAAGGAGCTGACTGGATTCCCAGTCCCAGTGAGATCGTAATGGTGAAAAATCAAGCTTTCAACTCAACAGAACCACTGACGCTGAAAAATTCACTGAGACAGGATAAGTACTTAATATCCTAAATACCAGTGTCATATTTACCAGGACAAGCACCAAGCTGTCTCATTCTCCCTACAGTCAATTTAAATAACCTAAACACAACATGAACAGCAAGAATCAAGTGGCTATACACTACAAGTTTCCAGAACTCCATTCCAGGAATCAATTTGTCATCTTTGTGTATACTATGACCTCAAAAAGTCTGATTATTGTGTCTTATTATTATTATTGTTTAAAAAAGCCCCTTTATCTACAAAACTGTTTGAAGCTAATTCATCTTTGTGGCTGAACAGAGAGAAAGAGCAGCATCCACTGAACTGCTGACAGGTATCTGCAACACTTGCTCATTAATGATTTCAACCATAGTGACTTTTAATTGGAAAACCAGCTCCAAAAATTTGCTTTTGCGGAAAGAAGTCTTCTCCATCTCTCCCACTCATCTTGCTCTACTATATATCACTTGGGAAAAAACTGGCTGGATGGCCATGCCCAAAGAGTGGTGGTGAATGGAATTAAATGTAGTTGGTGGCTGGTCACAAGTGCTGTTCCCCAGGGTCAGTTTTGGGGCCAGCTCTGTTTAACACCTTTATCAATGATGTGGATGAGGGGATTTAGTGCACCCTCAGCGAGTTTGCAGATGACACCAAGTTGGGTAGGAATGTTGATCTGCTTGAGGGTAGGAAGGCTCTACAGAGGGATCTGGACAGGCTGGATTGATGGGCTGAGGACAACTGGATGAGGTTCAACAAGACCAAGTGCTAGGTCCTGCACTTGGGTCACAACAACCCCATGCAATGCTACAGACTTGGGGAAAAGTGTCTGGAGAGCTGCCAGATGGAAAAGGACCTGGGGGTCCTGGTCGACAGCCAGCTGAACATGAGCCAGCAGTGTGCCCAGGTGGCCCAGAAGGCCAATGGCATCCTGGCTTGTATCAGAAATAGCGTGGCCAGCAGGAGCAGGGAAGTGATTGTGCCCCTGTGCTCGGCACTGGTGAGCCCGCATCTCAAATACTGTGTTCAGTTTCAGGCCTCTCACTACAGGAAGGACACTGAGGTGCTAGAGCACGTCCAAAGAAAAGCAACAAAGCTGGTCAAGGGTCTGGAGCTCAAGTCTTATGAGGAGCAGATGAGGGAACTGGGGTTGTTTAGCCTAGAGAAAAGGAGACTCAAGGGAGACCTTACGGCTCTCCACAACTACCTGAAAGGAGGGTGTAGCAAGGTAGGTCTAAGCCTCTTCTCCCAAGTAACAAGCAATAGGACAAGAGGAAACAACATCAAGTTGCACAAGGGGAGGTTTAGATTGGATGGTAAGGAAAACTTCTTCACCAAAAGGGTTGTCAAGCATTGGTACAGGCTGCCCAGGGAAGTGGTGGAGTCACCATCCCCGGAGGTTATTTAAGACATGTAGATGTGGTGCTGAAGTACATGGTTTACTGGTGGACTTGGTAGTGTTAGGTTTACGGTTGGACTCAATGATTTCAAAGGTCTCTTCCAACCTAAACAATTGTATTACATCAATGCCAAATGTGGTATGTGAGATACCCACGTACATTGTTCACTGGAGTTCTCTGAAGACATTCTATGTGCTTAAGATGTTCATCAATCTTGAGGAACTTTCATTTGCAGAAATTCTCAAAGTTATCACAGATCAAGTATGTTTTGTTTAAGACCACATGATGATTTTCTAGCCAACTACGTGCAAGACAAGTAACGTAAAGTAAAACAGGAGAGATACACAACACTGAGCTAATAATGTAGAGGAGTTTCAGAAGCAGTACTGAAAGCACCACTACCAAGAACTCATAACATGGCTCTGCCATCACTTTGGCTGTTGGAGTTTTTTTGCAGCTGGATGAAAAAGCAAGTAATATACTTGTATTCATATATAATTATATAACTGTCTTCAGAGAGATTGAGGCCTGCTAGTCACTTGAACATATACACAGTACAGAGAATTAACAGATCCATTTGAACAGAAATCAAGACACAAGAAACTACTATCCCAATTCAGGCAGCACATTTCCATGCCATCCATCTTATGTTTTCTATAAGCAGCTATTCAGCTTTTCATAGCATCTGTATTTTGTCTGTGCTGCTTCCTACTAATATCCCATTTAGTCACTGGCAGTTTGCTGGGAAGATCTAAAAGGAGATATTTACTTTAAAGTTTTAGTAACTACAATGCCTCATATTGTAAGTTTAGACTCTCCAGTTTTTTCATTAGATTTAGAAGTAACCTGAAGTATAAGAGGAATTAATCTGTTCTTGCAAAATAATACACAAAAACTCCTTTCATCCTCAAAAACTAATTGCTTCCAACTAATTCCTCTGCTACAGACCATCTCAATCTGACATCACAATTTCCACAAAGGTTTGATGCCATGGAAGATAGCAGCTTCTACAAATAGTGTGTGGTGAACAGAAGTAGGCAGACAAAGAAGCTGCAAAGGTTCTTTTCAATAAAGCATTTTTGAAGACATTAAAAGATTTAGTTGTGACTGAAAAATTGGGGTTGGTAACTAGTCGTTCACTGCTTTGATTCCGGCTCCAGCTCCTGTACTCTTCTAAAAACCATTGCCCTATCTCCATTTGCCTTCATCCATTAGTTCATCTGGACTAATTTAAAAGCAATATATTTTTTATAATACACAGTTGACTGAGAGGTGCTTACCAGTGACCCAGTTTAACACTATTTTCCTACTTGTCTTCCACAGTTAAAGACTCTTACCAGCATCACTCTACTCCACATTTCCTTGTAGTCAAACCAACTGCAGGCAGTTATCCTCCAGAGCTGCACCCATAATTCCACAGAACATAGTTTTTTCAGCCAAATCCCTTAAACAAGGAAAAAACATTGTCCTGCTATCACTAAGCAGCTGCTCAATTCACTCAATTGAACTTTTGCCAACTTCATCCACAGAAAATGCCTACAAAGTAATATTATCTCTAAAGCCTCAAGGCAATGAAAAAAATGCATGACTAGGAAACGGCACTGTGCAGAAAATTAACAGAGAAGCTCTTTTCATGCAGGGATCATCCTCCGAGGTGCTTATCCTAGCTGAAGACTGACTCAGATGCTTAGAAAGCCAGTAACACCTTCATGGGACCTGTAGCTGAGAAATCCTTTCTGAATCTGAGTGGACAGGAACTTTGGCGATCCCGCTGTTATACCCAGCACTTTGAAAAAGCGCTACCGTTTGTACAAAAATCGGACGTATAGAGGAATCTTTTAAATCACAGCTTTCAAACACCAAAAACACTTCCCTTCTCAACAGAAAGAGTGGCTAGGAATTCTGGTACTCTCCTTAGCACCAGATTAGCAGGAAGTAGCCCGACATGCATTTTAAGCAACACAGCAACAAAAAAGGCCTTTTGCATTTATTTTTTTGCCAAATTGATTCCTGATCTGGTTCACCTTTCAGCTCTGTCGGATCTTGCTGGCATAACGGCAAGAGAACAGTCTGGAGTGGAAGTTGCTACCATTCTCCTGGCTTGAATGAATATCACACTATAGCCTCAGAAAAGGGGCAAAAATGCCTTAGTTTGAATACTGCAACAGAAGTCAGTTACACATTCCTGGCTTTCCACTTCATTAGGCAAAAGAGATACTGGAGGAAACCCAAAACAAGCAACGCCTGAGCAGACCACAGACTGTTGGCAAATCATCAGCTAGAAAGAGCTCAAACAGACACTTTTAAGACAATGGCAAGACCCAGCCCTTTTGCACAGCTTCTCGTGTAGTTTGAAGCTTGGTTAATACCTGTTCTTGAGAGCAGCACTGGGGAAAACTCTGGCTGGTACAGATATCTCGGACCACTCGAAAGCACTCAATTTTTAGCACAGATACAGGCTGCTGCCTGGTTATACTTGCCTCAGCAATGACTTATCTATTGTGCAACCACCATGCTGGCACCTAACTCTGTTCTCAGATAATGTAAGCAAACCAAACAAAACCTGTTATAAAAGAAAAATAAGTCATTTCTCCAGCAAGCTTTTTCACTGTGAGGTTAGCTGGTCAGATGACACACGCTCAGAAGCAAATACAGTTCCCCAGTATACACCACCACCTCGTGGCCAGATGCCCGAAACTCCATAACTGAACATATTCTGCAGATTGAATTCTAAGAGCCTCTGAACTGAATGCCACTGACAGATCCTCAGCGAACTACACTGTCATCCTGTGTGAGCTGCTCACAACTTTTTAATTACCTGTGAAGAGGGGAAAGTATCCTAGGTGCAAAGGGCGGTACCATTTCAGTTTCAAGGCAGCTTACACATCACAAGTGCAAGCTATTTACTTCATGCTGTAACTGAAGGAAGCTGCTACCTACTAGGCAAATGAGACATGAGAATTTGTAGTTTTGACTTTGAATGCAATGAGACTAGTACAGACTTCCCCCTTCTTACTTTCATAATGAAAAATGAAAACTCTGACAATAGACAAATGTGCTGAGTATCTTCTGGTGCATTAAGTGTAATGATCCTGAAAACTGCCTCTAGCTCCCCAAGTAAAAAGGGATTTCAGTAACTTTCCTGTATTTACTGTAACTGAAGTCCAAACATCAAATTATACTAGAGATGAAAATCAAAAGCATTGCCCCTGCAGTAACCAGCACACAAGACTGTAAAAGATACACAGCAAAATACTCTGAAATCAATCTAAAAAGTGGGGCAAATAACAAAGGACTGACAATGGGGAAGAGAAGGGAGGCTAGAAAAGCTAGTCACAAAACAAACAAAAAAAAAATCAATGCAATACTGTGTCTTAGATAAGACTAAGATGACTTACCTCTAGTTGCAAATTCCTTATGCTGTTATGAGGCTGAACTGCCAAGTAGGATAGTAAATTGGTTTATTGCTCCAGAAATTCTTGGTCTACAGGTACTAACAGATAATTATGAATGTGTCCACTGAATGAGTTATCTGTCAAACTGATAAAGAGGCTCTGTTTGGCTTCCCTCTTCCACATGCTTACTGTTAGAAAGACTCACCAACAGTTGTGCCATCTTCACCCATAATGCACTTCATGGAGGTGATGATTTGCTCCACAACAGGAGGTGACAGTGATGTTGCATACACAGCACTGTGAGAGTACGTCCTGAGGTAGTCAATCAGTTCCTAGCAAAACATAAGAAGCATCGGACATTGCTTTCCCAGCACTCAGAGAAATGCTTCATTGTCACATCTTAACCACACAATAAAACAGGCCACCACAAGTAACCTCTTTCAGAATGTCCTGGAAGAGAACAAGTGTCTCAAGGATTGATTTTATGGTGCAAGTAATGAAAAGTTGAAAAGCAAATAGCAGGGACATGACAACTCCTAATTATGTCACGGGGTAGTATGCATGCAGATCAAAGACAAATGCCTACAACACACTTGTTTAGCTAACACCACAAGCACTGGACGGCAACAAGGTGTTTGCATTACTCGAGCTTTGCACAGGCTGTGCTTCGAAAGTGTGTTATAACAGTGGGAGTATAAAACAAATGAAATAGTGGGGAGCACAATGCATAGGTGCTCATGTATCATGCTTAATATAATTGTTTCTCCAGGAAAGTTACCAAACAGGGGAATAGGTCACAAAATATTTTCTCCCATTTATCAGCACAGTATAAATAAAGCAGCAAGTATAACTTAGAAGTGCAAGAACCTCAGCCTACCCTTCCTGCACTTCCCAGTTAAACACACCTGCTACATTTGTTAGAGGGCAAAAGCAGGTCACATAGGAACAAAGGAGCAACACACCACAGATCTAAGCTGCTTCTTGTTAACTGTAACAAAACTACTCTAAAATACCCAGATCACTCCAGAAAAATATTATAAAGACCAGTATGAATGCCAGGACAGATTCAGTCTTTTGCTACCACAAAATTAATAACAAAGACCCTGTAGATAGCACAAGCTGGGAACATATTATAGAAATAGGTGGAAGTGTTCAATTTTATGTTGCTGTCTGCCTAGAGTCAGAATTAAATAAAAGGGAGTTGCAAAAGGGACTTTGAAATAAACTAGGTAAAAATATTTAGGGCCTCTTATGTCTGAAGCAATCCCTCAAACAGTAGATAAAACACAGTTGTGAAGGACTCGGCTGCTTCACCTTATGCCAAGGGAGTTAATCCCACTAGCTAACTACCTTTGGGAAAAGATTAATACAGTGCTTTCTTCTGGGGAAGATGTCAGAGTAATTTTAATCCAACTGTAGTAAACTGCCAAAGAGGAACATCTGCAAATTCCATCTCCATTTTGATGGGCTGAAGTAATTGTCATTATTAGTATCTAAAAAAATATTGTCCTGGTAAGAAAATGCTAGAATTTTTCTCTCAAATAAAACTTAGAAGCCTGATCTGTGAGACACATTTGAGAATATTGAGAAAGGGGACACATGCAATTGTCTGTACTGACCCTCCCAAAAGGAGGGATTTTGCAAGGGCAACGCTTTCTAGCAGTACTTTTCAATAGAAAACAGTCAGTAGCCAAAAAAATCCTCCCAAAATAAAAGCAAATCGAACAAAACCTCATCAAAAACCTAAGTGTCTTTTTAGAAAGCAAGGTGTTCGAGTCCAGAGGGAATTAGTTCTACCAGACTAAACTAAGAAAGGGATTTTCCTCCAAACAAGGTGAAAAACTTCAGCTTTTGGCACTTTTCCTGCAAATCTCATTAAAAATAACATTAGGAAATCCCTGCTTCCTGACTCCTAGCAGTTCCTGAAAAGATACTACACCACTACTGTACATTCTGCAAACTGAGATCATCGCTGACCCTGTGAGAACTATACAATGACGAGTTATTTTACTAGACTAGACTCTTCTGCATTGCACGGACTTTCACTGTACTGGAGTGTATGTAAAATTACGAAACAAATGGACAATTAGCGTACTTGAAAAACAGATCAACTTTGAAATGCTTCAAGAAGGGCTCCACCACCAGCCTGAAACAGCCATGAGACTCCCAGCTTTTTACCTTCTTGCCCCCAATGTATCCTCCAGCAGCTCCAAAGCTTTTGGTGAATGTTCCCATCATAACATCCACATCTTCAGGACTGAGTCCAAAATACTCCACTACACCCCGGCCACTGGGACCCAGGGCACCTATACTGTGAGCCTCATCAAGGTACAAATAGGATTTGTACTTCTTCTTAAGGGCAATTACTTCAGGCAAACGGACTATGGATCCCTCCATACTGTTGAGAAACAGAAATTCTGTGTAAGTTGATTTAATGGCTTGGGGCCTCCTTACAGAGCCTAAAGTCACTAAGCTTTCTTTTCTTCACTCTTTCAGTAATCATGAACACATAAAATTTGCTAGACACATGTTCTGCAGAGAGATGAAAGATAACTCCTCCTTGAACCTTGGGCTCAGAGCTCCACTTTCTACCTGTTTAGCATCTCTGGGATACTGACATATGGACTAAATAGTAGCAGCAAGAGTGAGTTAAGGCAAAGGAATATGTTCAGTGACAATTTTACAAATTAATCATCTCACTTTTAGTTCCACTCTAATGTTAGTATTGTGCTCTTGACACATGTACTTACCTGTTGTTTTTAAGTTTAAGAACTGACTAGGCTCTCATCGGTAGCACTCCAAAATGCCTCATTTTTTGCTGAAAGTCACCATGATTTAAATGCCTAACACAGCTAAGCCTACTACATGCTCCTACTCACTCTCAGCAAAAACATTCAATTTGCTCAATTCCATTCGCACTAGCATCATCTAGTGAGCATGGAAACAATGGAACGGACAAGCAATTTAAAACCTCAGTAAATAATAAGTTTAGATTAACTAATTTCTACAATCTAATCAGGATGTGGGAAGCATTGTGATAACACCAGGTGTGGCTATGGTACTAGCAACAGAAAGTCCAGGATGTGAGACATACCTAGATCAATTCAATTCGCAGATGAGATTAATGAAATAACTATGAAGTGACAATATTCACAGTTTGATTTGGCAAAGGAACTCAAATATTAAGCAGCTAGATCTCATGTGGAGGGTCTTAGGAATATAAAGAATAATTTGTACCTGTATATTCCTTCCACCAAGATAAGAATTTTTTTCCAGGGCCTCCGTGTACGAGGTTGCCCATGCACAATAGCATCTTTGAGCAGCTTCTCCAGGCTTTGCATATCTGCACCAGAAATTACTGTTAAATGGTACCAAAACAGCTACTAGCTTGAGCTTTGAGATGACTAAAGATAGTAATACTCCAGAAACACACAAATTGCTCCAGTGTGGAGGACGGACCATACATAAGTCAATAAGCACGGGCTTTATCTAGCTGTGGGCCCACAGATGAGATTAAAGGGAATGCGTGATTGAATGAACTCTGAGGAAGAATTTAATCATCCTCAGCTAAAAGCACAAGTTAGAGCACCAGGCACAAACAGCAAACAAGGAAGGGGTGGGAGGAAGAAAGAAAAAAGGCAAGTATCTCATTGTGATGAAAAGAGAAAGCAATTTAGGTAGTAAGTGTGTCCTTGTGGATAGAAATAACTCAAAAAAACCCAAGCAAGCTCAAGGATTATCTAAAGATAAGCAGAAGACAGACCAAAGTGCAGGAGCAGATAGACCAAAGGGGAGCAAGTATACTTTTTTATTACTTTGTATAAAACTGAAGGGACTGGAAACATGGAACAGGAAGCTACTAAACCGAAAACAGAAAAAGAAGAAAAAAGAACCACCAGTGTAGGAAAGAGGACAGTGCTCAGCACATCAAAAACTAAACAGATGAAGCAGTTAGAAGCAATGTATTCTGAAACCTTACTAGCTTTGGCTACAAACACACGACATGATCCTAGAAGACCTGAGTAATGTGAACAAATACACATACATGAAATCAGTCCTGAAAAAAAACTGAGGAAAGGAGTAGCAATTAAAGTAATCAAACCATAAAAGCTAAAGTGCTGAGCAAGAGACAGATACAAACACTAGTGCATGAAAAAGAGCACAAACAATCATGAAAACAGGACTGGTAGACTAGGGCAGCTGCAGCAGCAAAAGGAGTTTGCTAACTAGAACTAGACTAGAAATTATACAGCAAATAGGTCAGTTATAGACTGTTAAAAGACAGCTAATGTTCAGAAAAAGATGAAGTCAGCAGTGGAGTCTCTGCCTCCAACAAATCTCTCAAGGAAGAAAGGATGAGTTTAGTGCAGTTAGGGAGAACAATGGAATATAAACTTCTGCTCTGATCTCTCAAGAAAAAGGGAAAGATTGGGAACCAGGTCTGACCTTAATAAAAAGGACAAACCTCAGAATGAGGTAGAAAAAAAGTGAAAACACTGAACAAGGATTTTAAAGGTGATTTTTATTTTTCCCCTAATTTGTAAAAAGCAGAATAAGAATGAAGCCATTAACATCTCGGGAAAATTAAGTTAACTGAGGCAGCACAGAGTACAACAAGAGTAGGACTGAGAACACATACATAACTATGAATTGAATATCATCTGGACAGGCCAAGATCATTGCTTGCATTTTGCCTTCTAATTCTAATCTGCCAATCCACTTTCTCTCACAGATCCTCACCATCTATTAGGTTTCTAGAATATTCCCAATCCCACCACTGCTAATTTGTACGCCATTCCCACATATCATCTGTTCTTCCTCATCACACCTGTGCTTCTAAGTTCTTCTCATACCCGGAACTGTGTTTGTCACCAGTGCTCTCCGAAATTCTAGAAGTGGATGCAACGTTCAGAAGTATGTCCATACAAATGCAGAAGATGAATGCAAAGCTTTTGTGATCTTGCCCAGCAATCAAGATTTATGAAGAATTAAGGAAAAAAAAAAATCACTAAATGTTACAGTAAGCTCTAGACTTCTGTAAAGAAAATTATTCAAACTGTAGAGAACAAGAAAGAAATAACACAAAAGAAACAATAAGCACAGCAGAGGATCCACTATCAAGTAGGATAAAGAAAGGAAAATAATTGCAGGCTTTGCTGTCACCATCACATACTTCAAAGAGAGCAAGAGTCATCATGATCTCAGAGATTGATACTATGAAGAGTATTAGAAGCAGCTGAAGAGCAATGGTAGTGGCTTTACTAATCAAGGACAAGCAGGTATCTCTTTCACTAAGAGAAGGAAACTAAGTATTTTCAATCTGAAAGTTATTCTAAATACCTCCTTTGGAAGAAACTGAAACTAGCAAAGTTAAAAGTTCTGTGTATATTGGGAACAAATACTTAAAGCAAGTAACTCAGTGAAATTAATCTATGCTTCACATCCCCAAAAATTCCTTTTGTACTACATTGTTCCAATGCATGGCTGTCTAGTTTAACTAGGACATCTGCATTCACAAGCTTTTGTAGGATCATGTCAGCATCTGATCCTAAAATTGAACTTTCTTATCCCCCAAATTGTACCTTAGACCACTACAAGACTGCATCACTATGTGACATAGACTGTTAGAATAGTCTAACCATGCTGACCTATCCAGGTAACAAGAAGCCATGTTAAAACTCTAGTGCCCCTAGACTTGCCAAAGGGGAGTATGTTCCTCATCATATGCAGAAGATATAAGCCAGAACAGCTTTGGGATATAAATGTTATTACTTGAGACTGAACATATAAAAAAATATCCAATTCAGGATGACTAAATTCTCAGTAGCAGCAGTCTCCTGACCTTTCAGGTAATCAGCAATTGATTTTCTTGCATGAAATTGGATTTACAGCTATTAGAAGATAGATTGTACTTGATCAACAGCATCTGCAGAAAGGCGGAGTCCACCATCTGATACTTACTGTTGTGTTTAAAGATTCGAATTGTTGCTCCTGACAGTCTTGCTCCAAGCACTAGTGACGCATGATTCAGTTCATCACTCAAAATCAGACAGCCCTGAATTAGAAAGGGAAAGAGGAAGATATTGAAAAGGTTATGTTTCACAGCCAAGCATATAACACCTTTCAGCTCTAAACTGCTTAGAGATCATTTACGAAAAAAATAAAAATATATTTCCAACATAAATGCAGCTAGTCCAGGCAAGACTTGCTAAAAACAATTTGCAGCCTTAGCACAGCAAATAAAAATACACAACTGCTGCTAACTGAAAGAACCACTCAAGTTTCACTTTTCCCAGAAGTCCTGAAGCTGAATCTGCACAAATGTCTCACGCTGATGATTAGTACTCATCCTCCTATGTAGCCAGGTAAAACAGAGGGCAGAGCAGGTTGCTGCAGTGGTGGTAGGAAACAGACCGCTGAAGTCCTAGATTAAAGACCTTAAAGTTGCACTACTTCTTACATGAGGAGGTAACCACTGACTAAAACCATGTGTGCTCAGTGATACCAAAGGGACTAATTTTCTTTAATGAACAGAACTATCAAGTACTTTGCAGATGGAGATAATATACAAGAAACAGGAAGTGGAAAACAAAATTGCAGAGTGAAATTGAGAACTTTTCTGTAGCCACTAAACATTACATTGAATTTCTTCACTTTTTTAAAAAAAGGGAAGATACATCCTTAAACAAATATCAAAACAGGATACATTGGTTTTGAGAGCAGCAATGCTTACAGGTCAATAGCTGATATGCTGCACATTGAGTCACAGCGTTATCACTGTCAACTACAGAAATGCACATTGGGGGACTAGTTTTTAAGAGAGCAATAGTATTTCTAAATAACCATGGCCCATTCCAATTACTAGGCTTAAACTTGAGAAAAAACTACTTTACAGTGAGGGTGACTGAGCCCTGGAACAGGCTGCCCAGGGAGGTTGTGGAGTCTCCTTCTCTGGAGACATTCAAGACCCGCCTGGACGCCTTCCTGTGTAAAATTGTTTAGGTTCCTGCTCCGGCAGGGGGATTGGACTGGATGATCTTTCGAGGTCCCTTCCAATCCCTGACATTCTGTGATTCTGTGTGATTCTGTGATTCTGTGACTTTGTTAGGTTGAAAATCCAGAAAGCATGTCAAGATTCTCAAGATTTGACATTAAACACATTCTCATTCTATGTTTGTCTATTAACAATTGGCAGAGGGAAGAGTCAAGAACATTTATTCTCTGCAATGAGTTGGGAAGGGACTGTGAAAAGCACTGCCTAGTTACACAAAAATGTGTCACACACAGTAGAAGTATTTTCTCCACAATAACGGAAATTTTGCACTAGAATGCAATGTACCTAGACATATTCTACATCCTGGGAAAACTTAAGATTGTTTTTCCCCAGAAAACGCAATAAATCTCAAGTGTTCAAGCTGCTGTTACAAGGATTCACACTGCATATTTCAGACACGTTGGCATAAGCAGCATGGAAATCTCCAAGTAGCATTTGCTCTTTGGAACTACCATACCAGACAAGGAGTATGTATATTACATCAGAGGGCATTGCTGTTAAATACTACTGTATCAAAAACTGAACACCCAGTATCCTTCTTAAATAGAAGGAAGGAGAAAAAGTGACAGATTAAAAAAAAAGAGGAAAAAGATTAGTAGTCTAGAAGGAGCTTCTCTATAAAAACAAGTACAAGCTTTTGTTAGAGAAAGATTTAACAAATCACTGAGCAGCCCTTTTCACCCCCCTATAACAGAAGAGGGCATTCAATTAGACAAAATAAATTTATTTAAAACTGAAGAGGAAGTAGGGAGTCACATATGTTTGCCACTAGAGAGAGGGCAAAGGATCAAAGAAGCCACTGGTACAGTACATCACTGATGATCATATGTAAAACTGAGTGCTGCTACTACAATGATAAGCCTTCAGTTGCATTTATCGGCAAACTTATATTTGAGAGAGTATCCAGGAGAAGGCTAACACTAATAGGAGATCATACTACTGGTACCAAGAAAAACATATGCCAGTGAAGATCAGACTTACCAATGCATCCTACAAGGCAGACACAGAAATTGAAGTGAATGCCACATTTTACCACAAAGTGCTGCACACATGAATTGTGTAATACAGTCCTGAGCACTTAATTTCATGCTAACTATACATGAAAATTAATTTGTTTTCTTACAACCAGAAAAGACTCTTCAAGCACCGTTGCTCTAACTCCATTATCTGCCAGTCCAGAGCTATGAAGAAAAGCTCTGTGCTAAAGGTGGTACACAATGGGGTTATTAGCTAGTCACAGTAACTACATTAATGCCACTTCAAAACAGGTACATTTCAGAGTTTAGCTTAGCCTCAAATGGTCTAACTATGTAACTAACTTTACTAACTATGTAAACCTCAAATCTCACATTATCTGGGGTCTAGACTCAGCATACTTGGCAGGGATTGTACTAGGCAGCCAACA